AAAAAGAAAAATAATTGCCTTTCCCCGGCAACGGCGCCAAATTTGACGAGCACTTTGTCACGGTGCGTCAAAATAAATTTCAATATTATCACTAACACGTAGTATAGCGTAATAGAGTTCGTATCCACAGGGAAAGGAAATAATTATCTTTTTATGAACTTAATAAATAAAAGGGGTTTTTTGGGTTCGAATGATTTAATTTAATTAAGAACTAAGATGAACAACTTATATGTGTTTAATTCTAAGATAAAAAAGGACTTGGCATTGCTACTTTCCAGTTGTTGATATATTTTAGTCGATCATTGTTATATCTATAACTTATTCCCTCTCGAATACTCAATCGGGGAGTATATCCACTTCATCGAGGGTAGTTATTAACAACGACCGTTCATTAATAACCATTACTATTAATCAAATATAGAACAACGCCTTATACCGATTTAATAGTAGCATTTAATCTTTCTAACTCCTTGATGAAATCAATTGAGATTGATAACCTCAACACAAGCGGTTTTGGTTTAACCAACAAAATTAATCCCTCTTAAGTTTATTAACCACGACCGTGCATTAATAAACCGAAGTTGCTTACTTGTGAAACCATCAACGATTAACCATCGGTTCGTTGATCGTTTCTAGTAATAATTAATATATGAAACAAAACTAGTTGATCCTTTAAGTAATGTTCAAAATATTAATATGAAATAAGAGTAGAAATTAATTAATATTCAAGGAAGAATATTATTAAAGAAGATGAATCCTACTATAATTAATATCAAGATGTTAACTAATTGTCATCTTAGCAACACTCCCCAACATTAATATAGAGGAAGAAAATACCATTCTAACTAATGTCGAGATGTTAACTAATTGTCATCTTAGCAACACTCCCCAACATTAATATAGAGATGGTATTAAGGAAAGAACTATTAATTAATATTCAAGGAAAGAAGTTAAGAAAATAACTCACAACTTTAATAATCAACAAGCTTCAAGAGCAACACCAAGAATGGAAGTTTAGCTCCACATTTGGAGACTAAAAATAGCTAGAAAAATATAAAGAAATGCTATTCTAAACTGAGCTTAAGAGTATGGAAGAAGGGATTATTTTTTGTGAAGAAAAAGTGTGCTATTTATAGGTGTTTTTCAACACCTTTGGCTGGGTACCCGACCGGGTCAAGTACTCACCCGACCGGGTCCGGTCAAAATCAGATATTTCCCCACGTTCTGGTGATCTTCGGCATGTTAAAGTGTCCGGGTCAAGTCAGACCCGACCGGGTGGGGTAGGGGACCCGACCGGGTGAGTGCAAAAATTGGATATTCTTCACGTTCGGGTGATCTTTGCACACCGGGTTGTCCCCGGTCACTTCTCACCCGACCGGGTGAGGTAGTGGGCCCGACCGGGCCATGTACTTTCTTTGCATTTTCGTTTTTCACTTCTTACCCGACCGGGTCAAGTGTTATACCCGGTCGGGTATTTGCTCCTGGGCAGCCAAATCTTCTTTTTCTTCACTTCAAAGTCTTCCTTTCCAACACCACAAATCCTAACTAAACTTTACAACTGACAAATAAAGACTAAAATACAATTACAACTGAAATCACATAAATGTTTATAAACTAAATAAAACGTCAAACAATTAACATAAATCAAACATAAAAACATGTAATTATGCACTACTAATTAGTGTGCATCACATTGTTACGACATTGACATTGTTATTCATTAGCATTGTGATAGTATAATTAATGACATTGTAATGACATTTTTATGACATTAACATTGACATTCTTATAACATTATCATTGACATTCTTATGACATTGTCACTGACATTGTTTTCTATTGACATTCTTATGACTTTGTCATTAACATTCTTATGACATTGTCATTGACATTGTTTTCTATTGACATTCTTATGACATTGCCATTGACATTTTCTTAACCTGACGGCATTGTTTATTTAAAGTGCATGAACGAGTGGGCTGATAATGTCCAGGCTACATTGGCATTATCACGACAATGTCATTGGCATTGTAACGGCAATGTCATTAGCATTGTCACGGCAATGTCATTGGCATTGTCACGGCAATGTCATTGGCATTGTCACGACAATGTCATTGGCATTGTCACGACAATGTCATTGAAATTGTGTCATTTTAATGTCATTTTTATAACATTGACATCATCACGTATTACATTGTCATATAATGACATTGATTTTTAAACAAAGACATCGTATTACATTGTCATATAATGACATTGATTTTTAAACAACGACATTGATTTTCCAACAGTGACTTCAAATTTTAAAGAATGACATGATATTACATTGTAATGAGCATTGACATTTTCGTGACATTGTCATTATTTAAAATTGTGTTGGTCTGACATTTTGACATATTTATGACAATAAAATACACTCTCAACTAACAATGTATTTTTCAAAAAAAAAATATTGTCATTATTTTACATTATTGTAAAAACTACAGAGTATACGGAGTAGTAATTTGAAATGCAATTGAATTGAACACCATACATGATAATTTGATAAATTCAACACCTAACATGTTCGTACATCATTCTGTTCAAAGCCTGACAACCATTAATGCACTCAAATAATTTGATTCTCCCTATTGAAGTGGAAGTAAGGTTTAATAACGGTGAAGTTGTGCAAGAGTTATGATCGATGATGGATTGATCGAGTCTCTAGCTAGGCGATTGTTTCTTGCAAGGGATATGATGTAGCCATCCAGATATATAGATCTCCGATTTTTATCAGTAGAGAGGAGCTTTACACATGCCTGCATAAAACGTACCGGCGTATTTTTCCCATTGAGTGAAACCATTCTTCAAGCTTCTCCATCATTCCGGACCTCTCCTTGTCATCTACTCGTTTGTCCAAGTACCGATCCAGCACCGGCGGCAAGACGTTCACCCAGAGGATACAACAGCTGTAATGAAGCTCCCATTGGCCACTCGCCGGCGACGGGAACCGCTCATCTTCCTTGCACACGGCCACCTCGGGGTTGAACTGTTTTACCAGGCCGGAGAGCGTAAATGTAGGAGTTTGATCTGCAACGGAAGGTTGTGTTGCTCGTGCGTGTGTTGTGTGGCTGCGTGAGATGTGAGGGTATTTTTGTCTGTTCGGTTAAAAATAAGTCTTATTTAGGGTTAAAAAAGTTAGAGAGGTCCTATCCCGGTTCCAAGCTCATGTTTTAGTCTTATTTAAGTCTTTTTCCCATTTAGTTTTTCTTGGACGAACATGTTTTGATGGCTTGGTCACTCTTCAAAACTAAGAGAATTGAACATATGACACAAGATTTTGGTATGTAGTTTTCACTATCTATTTTTAATGTTTTCATTCATACAAATAAGTGAAATACATGAATAAAATAGCCATGAAGTGGAGCCATGAACACAAAAAACGTGGAGTCATGGATTCCTAAAATGTAGGGTTTGGGATATTATGTCCCGGCCCAATTTCAGGCCCAAATATCCCAAAAGGGCACAAGCTCCACCTAGTCCATAAGGCAGGAAGTCCAGCTCAGGGAGAACCGTACAAGCCAAGCCGCACGAGCATTGCCGAATGACCCAGTTATCGCACTTGAGCGGTAAGAAACATGACATGTTCTATATATATTCGGGACGGTACTGATTCTTTGATTTTTAAAAGAACCGTACTTTGGGACGAGACATGTTTTTCGAAATAACCGTCATGTACCGTCCCATGCTCACCCCTAGTTGCTCCTCTTTGGTGCGGCGAAACATTTACCTCCACGACTAGCCAATGACCACCCCCACCGACACCGCTATCCCACCGCCACTGTGGTCTCCCAGTACAACGCCCATTGCCCCTGCCCTTGTCCCTCCCAGTGACCCGGCGGCCGCCAATGACCACCATCCATCCCAGTGCCCGACACCACCTCGCACCTACGCCCTTCGTGGACCAAGCTGCCCTGCCACAACCCCCATCCCCTGCAACCAGCCATCTCTTCATCCCACCTTCCTAACCCTAGCCCCCTACCCAATCACCGCACCACCACCCGCAACCCTAGCCGTCAAGATTTAGCAGTGCTACCGCTTCCCTTCCACCTTACCACCACCATAGCAAAACGCAGACCTCGAAATTAATGTTGTCGCCGATGCTAAGATGAAACCCTAGACGAAAACCTAGCACCGACGCCTGCGGTGACCAAGCCATATGATTTCACACGATCTGATATCAAGCCTCCATGGATGAAGATGACTGCGGTTTGACTTTCATCCACCTCCCATTTAACCGGACATAAAGAGACAAAACCGAAATCGGGGCTGGGTAGAGGAGGGGGGTGACAGGGGAAAGGACACGACGATGATGCTTGATCCACCGTCCTTGATGGACGACGGAGAAGCTCGACGATGGGGTTGTCGTCGACAAAGTTGAGGGCAGAGGTGCAAGATGCTACAGTCAGTGAAGTTAGATTGCAGCAGAGATGGTGGCTGCAAGTCATGGCGAAGCTTGGGCAAGGGTGGTTCAACGATGAGGATGAAAGTAGAATGGCAGTTTTTGTTCGGTGATGAGGACAAAAGCATGAAAGCAGAAGAGCAGTGGTGTTCCAACGATTAGATTGAATGTAAGGTTAGTTTGATACTTTGATCACTTTTCTATCTGTTTTTAAAGTTGTCATATTTTTGTCCAATAAAATGTGGAAAGTAATATTTGTATCATTCTTTGATATTTTTATTTTGAGATTTTGGCCTTTTGGGAACTCACGATGAAATGCTGTCAACCAAAAAACGGGACCGAGCCAATAGATTCTGGTTTGAGTTCAGTTTGGACTTGAAAATCCGGTACAGAACCAATCAAGAACTGGAATCCGACTGGGATTGAACCCCAAGTTATTCGACAGAGGACCAGCAGCATGAGACAGTGTCCCTCCCGTACCCATACTTGGCTACTTCTAAGTTTTGACGGAACCAACAAGGAATCAAATATATTACGGAGTACTTCAGAATATATACTCACAAGACCAAGATTTTAATCGGAAAACCTGGTTGATTTTTTTGTTTTTATAGCTACCGAACAGATTGGAACAAGACAGAAGTGTCGGTAACAAATCTAACCAAAACAAACAAGTTTGTCTCTAACAGATGGGGATTGAGAAGAAGTTGTTACAACCAAACAAAAGACACAATAATTAGCCACCACCAACACAAACTAGCAAACCATATTGTCAGTCCAAAAAAACCCTAAGAAATGATTGATATTCAAAGTCTAGTCAGAGTTGACTAGGAACCATAACAAAAGACAACCTTAGCTCAGCTTAACCCTTTTAGTCTTTTACTTACTAGTTACTACTCAATCCATAGATATGGACACATTAATATCTGGATACTGTCTCTGCTGATGGAATGTAGCCTCTGAGCCATTGCAACCTGGTGGTGACAAATCTCCATGGCTGTTACTTCTCTGACTCGGGAGCGGCGGGGTTGGAAACATGGCTGCTCTCGGTGGCTGCGGGGCTGCTTGGGGTACTGGCCTGGCTGCCATTACAATCTCCGAAACTGGAGCATTGTGAATGACGGGCGCCGTTCCGCCCTCGTCTGCAGTTTGCTGCTTCCTGCTAAGTGTTTTGCTGAATACGTTTGGCATGAAGCTTCCAACTATCATCTGCCATTAAAACAATCTTTGCTTAAAACAAGAGAAAAGCCAAAACATAACACATTTCCTCAAATAACATAGTGCTTCAAAAAAACAAAGAAAATAAAAGCAGATTTAGTCCCTCTAGTATCTATTGGAGAAACTCTATTGAGTTCTATATATTTATCCAATTATCCTATAAAAGTCTCACATCAAAAGATTAAGAGAAAGAGTGGTTTATAAAACCTCAGCTGAACTAGCTCAAAGATAGAATTCAATCTTGTAGTTGGCGCAGGTGCCTTTGTAGTCTAGTTGAGTGATCCAAACTAACCATGAATTCTATCATGGGATTTCCCAACTAGATTCTCAACTATACAATTTGTCCCCAATTATTCCTGTCTCAAGTGGTTTAAAGGGTCTTTTCTGAAACAGACCAATTTAGCCTTGTGTAAAATCACTACGGTTACAACTAGTCATTACTCCCTTCGTCCCGCAAAAATCATCCCATGTTAGTTTGAAAGTGGAAATAAAGTGAAAATAAAGTGAAAATGTAAATGAATGTTAGCCACACAATACTTTCCGAAAAGGGAAATACAACAACAACAACATCCAAGCCTTAATCCCAAAAGAATTTGGGGTCAGCTAACATGAATCGATCTATGATATCGATGCCCAAAAGGGAAATGAGAAGATTTTTTTGGACATCCCAAGAAGGTAAGTGGAAAGAATTTTCAGGAACGAAGGGAGTATATAAAAGATCACATTTTTGTCCACGTCTTCTCATATAGGTCTCGTTACTTCAAGTTTAAAACAAGGAAACAACATTGAGTCTAAATTACAAAATTGAAGACTTGGGGACCCAACAATTACGAGCTCGTTTGATAACACTAACTTATTAGCCTTGCAACTATTGGGAATAATATATTTGTATAGCTTCTATATTTTATTTCCTTGTATATTCAGCCCATTTTGTAATTAGCTTTAGGCCCATGTAAATCTTGTATAAATTACTCCTCACACGTAATAATATGCATGCAATTCAACCCTAGTAAGTTTGTCAGCAACCCAATTTTTTTACGAGTATATATGATTTGATTTCGTGCGCTGAATTATGTGATAATCAAAATAAGCAAGGAGAAAGTAACTTTTCTGACTGAAATGATTGAATTTTAATGTGGATGGTCATTTTAGCTATCCAACATTTTCTGACTGAAATAATTTAAAATATAATTTTCCTGGTATGTGCTCCATAGTCCATACTAGACTAACACTAGTATGTATATACACACCCATAAACTGAGACAAACAAGACATACTTGGATTGGGGTAGCAGCGGTAAGCAGCCCAGCAATTCCACCACCGATAACACGGCCATCAGGACCTGCCAAGGAGACACTCAATCCGCCGGTTCTACTCCTTATCCCACAAGTTTCCGAAATTGTGATTGACCCGGTCAGCCTCAAGATCTCAAACCGGCCCTGAATTCCTTGAGAGTCAGTAATTAAGGAGCTGAAACTCATAATAATTGAAGAAAGGAATACTTAATTAAGCAGGAAATGGGAGTGAGGCGTGCCTCATATGTCAAAATACCGCCGGAAGAGCCTGGCTGGCGAATTGTGACGTTTGAAACCGACCCATTTGCAGAGAGGATGCAGATTCCTCTGTAGCCGTTTTGAGCAAAGGAATATACTTTTCCGGCCACATCCTACACGTACAGTGTTTATCGTTTTAGATCTGCGCTAAAAAACGCTTCTTTTTCACACATGATCAAGAAATAACTTTTTTACCTCCCCTGTGTGCACAGTCACCACATGTGGGGTGAAATCCCCCCCTGCCGTGTTTGCAAATAGTTCACCTTCAAGAAAACAGATGAAATCATGAGAAAATGGGATTTTTGAAGAATTAAGGAAACGGCCTGAAGGTTAAAGAAAGAACAGATCCTGGACCCATGGGAGTTTAAAGTTTGTATGTATGTGGGAAAAGAAAAGGAAATAGCAAAACAAGTACTGTAATAAAGAAATAAAAGAAGAGAGGAAAATGTGTCTGTTTAAAGATTGCGAGAGAATAATGATGATGATATTAATAATCATGATTTTTTTTTTGTAATGCAGAGTGGTAATTAATTAAATAATTAATTAATAATAATAACAAGGCGCTCCTTCAAACTTCAGGCTCACCCATCGAGGCAAGGAATTGCCAGTTACCGCCGGAAGCAGCTGATCTGCCCCGCCCTCTTCTGCCGGAGGAATAGTCTGGGAGCGGCGTCAAACTGAAGGACCGAGCGGGAGGTGACGTCATCCCGGCCGACGGGAGCGGAGGAGGTGGAGGGGATATGTATGCCGCTCTCAGATTACCCTCAGAATCGTACTTTCTTGGTCGTCCCCTCTTTTTCTTCCCACTCTCATAGCTGCCGGCCGGGCAGACGGCTGCCGGCGCTTCAGCATGTGGTGTACTCCTCTCCATGCTCATCACCGGTGGAAAAACTTCCACGCCGCCGCCGACGGGAGGGGACTCACTCCTGTCGGAGTTACCTCCGGCTGACCCGGTGTCCGTACTGTCTTTCTCTTCCATTTCCGTACCCTGTTAGTCAACTAAAACAAAACACACAAAACAAATGCGGTAAATATTTATGAGTTGAATGGAGTGGAAACAAATACAAGATCCAAAAGGTTTGTTGTTTGAAAGATGGCGCCAGAGGAAGGGGCAAAAAAGGGGTTTGATTTTTTCACTTTACTATGGATATTTATTACTATTATCAGTACCTTTTTGGTTTATAAAGTAGAGTTCAGTTCACCCTTCCATTAATGGTGGTGTATGGAAAAACTAAAAATACTCCGTAAGAAGTTATGAAGAGGGCAGTTTGAGTGAGAAAAAAAGTATTACTGGTCTTATGCTCTTATTCATTGCGTTTTTTAAAATAGTCTTATTCATGGCTTTTACTTCTATTTGCTGATGAGATCGTCAATTAATAAAATAATCAGTGTGAGAAAAAATGTGCTCGCTGAAGTGACCCCACCCTGCTTTTATAATTTTAACTTTTGTCATTAGTTTATTAATTAATTATAAAAGATTTGCTTTTTAATTTGGAGGTATGGAGTTATATCGAGATAATTCCAAAAAATACTAAAAACTTTTGAAATTGAATTTGTTTTCTTATTTGCTTAATGTCCATTTTTTTTACATAATAAACATCCCAATGTGTTTGAGTGCATTTGAATTCGATTCTGGTTTACACCTACTGCCTACGGGTGTATAATAATCGATATAATCGATATGTTTCCTAATTTATTTTATTATTATTTCTTAATCAATTTCAACCAACCACCGAATTTCCCTATCAAATGAATAAGAATTCATTTACTCCCATTTAAGGAATAAAAAATATGATAGTTTTATTTTTAGCCCTATTTAAGAAATTTACTCATATGTTATCCGTACATTTATACAACTTAGATAATGACAATGCTTTCATAGTAAAAACGATGTTTGAAATTAACATGAATGTCTCTAAAAGAAGGGAAATTAGAATGAGGGATACCTAAAAACAAATCTGCCAAGTTTGGCATTACTAGGCTTTTAAACATGACATTTTTTTCCAAACTTGACAGATTACTCATATTAAAGGAATAAAAAACATGATACTACTATTTTAGAATTTCAAAACGTTTTTACTCCTATTTAGAGCAATTTCTAATAACATATTTGTAATGATGTATAATGTTTTCAATTCATTGATTGAGACCGGGTCGAATCTCAAATGGATAGAGAAATTATTCTAAATAGAAGTAAACATGTTTATGAAATTTAAAAAATGACTGCTATCTCAAAATATGAGTAATTGTTGTCATCATTGAAAAAAACTCGTAAAAATGGTAGTAAATACTGTTATGTTAATGATTGATACTGCAATTATTTTGGTAGTAATGACTTCGGAAAGAAAAAAACATAGTAATCATATTTTGAAATTGCAAACCTTGTTAACACCTATTCCGGGAACTTTCCCAAATGTATATTGTTTTTAATATAATTCATCAATTTTTCTCCGCAATTGTTATTTCTTGACTTCTAAATAGGATTATTTTTAATTTTAGTGATGTTTTATTTGTACAAGAAGATGCTAATGATGATCTTATTTTCAAAGGGTCTAGAGATATCTTGCTCTTTCACGAGAGTGATAAAGATACCATTGACTATTAACGTACATCTACAAGATGCATATATGACTAATCAGAGCAACTGTTATTAAATGATACTACCCCGTCTCATAATTTACTTCCAAAATAAAGTGTCACGCGAATTAAGAAAGTGAGAATTGTGTGGTGCAGAGTTGTGCAGAGGAGAGAGAAATGCTATGAACCACAAATTCTTTGCCAAAAAGGGAAAAAGAAGTTCTTTTTGGGACGGACAAAAAGGAAAAGTTGGAAGTATTTTCAGGGACGAAGGGAGTACTACGTAACATACAATGCTGAATAATGTTAAAACATTCTAAATCGCGAGCGGTTCCGGTAAGAACGGGCTCTCATGAGAGAAATGAGATTTAATCTGGACCGTTTGATTGTATTATGTGGAACTGAATTTTGCATTTAGTGAAATTCAAATGTGCATTAGATGATATTGAAATGTGCAAAATAAAAATTTAAACTCAAGTGTGCATTAGCTGAAACTGAAATGTGGGGAATAAAAAGTACAAAAATAAGAGCACATCATACCTTTTATTCTGCACATTTCAGTTTCACCTAGTGCACATTTCAATTTTATCTAATTCACAATTCAGCTTCACATAATGTCATTTTATCGTACCCTGTGTGCTGCACATTCCAATTTCACCTAATGCACATTACAGTTTCATTTAATGCACATTAAATTTCACTCAAAGCAAATCTAACGGTCCAGATTTATTCTCATTTCTCTCCTAAGATCGTGTTCTTATTTGAACCAAAACATTCTAAATCACGTGCCAATAATTGTGATGTCTCGCGTTCGAGTACAGAACACCCATCATTACTAAGGCTAATCGCAACTCAGCTCGTCAATATATCTAATTCCCTATCCGTTTATATTCATCCTGTCAATTATATTTAGTTTTTCCCTGCAATCCATCATCGTCAATATATTCACCCAGCACAATTTTGTTTTAATTAAATGGATAAACTCTCACTTTTTTATTAGACATCATTTATGAGACAAATTTATTTTTACCAATAATTATGATTCGAAAAGTCAAACATTTTGATGTAAAAAAATACAAAATGTGAATTATTTTTTTGTAAGTATTAAAATGCACACTTGGGTTAAATTCAAAATAAATTTCAATAAATTACACAATATAATGTTATTTTCTATATTGTTATATAATTAATTTTCATTTTTAATATTATGTACTTGTTGAACATTGAGATGAATCAATTGAAACACATGTTGTAAAATTGAAATACTAACAAACAAATACTAGAAACACACATAATATTGATTACCATAATAAAAAGAGATGTAAAAAATACTTTGCAAAATATAATCATCAGATATTAATTTAAACATTTGCAACAACTTAACAAAAAAAATTGGATCAGATAATCTCTTGCACTTGAAATTTATTTTCTTGACTGTATATCTATCACTGGTGTCATATGAAAGATCACAAAATGTTATGAATGTTGATGTATTTTTTGTAAAAGCTAGAGTAAAAATTAAAGAGATAAAAAATTTAAAGACAATTAAGATTGTAATTATCGGGACCCATTGTCAATTGCTTCCTTGTTCAGCGCATGCGATCAAAGCCTTTCCTCTCTCCAAGAGTCAATAGGGGTAGCACACATCGACCCGGTGGGTTTTTCTTATCGACTTTAGCACTTACATATATTACCTCCGTCTCGGTGGACTTTGCCAAGTGCAGAGTAGGTGAGAAATAAGAAAAATAAAAAATGTGTGGTTGAGATTTGTGCAAAGGAGAGAGAAATGTGCAGAACCACAAATTAATTGCTTTAATTGGAAAGTGACAAAGTTTTTTGGGAAAACCAAAAGGGGAAAGTTGACTAAGTCTAATGGAACAGAGGGAATACATTTTTTTAGTTGGGTTGGAGCACATTTGAGGGTGAATACCTCACATTTGTGCTTTTCACCCATTGCAATGCGGACAACCTAAGGATCACGTTGATGATGCTTGTGGGTCATCATTTAATAAGTTGACTTGCGAAAATCGTTTCTGTAATTAATTTGAAATCTCCACATGATATCTACATATTGATCTTAAGATGACTGTGATATAGTATATTGGCCTGGTTTGACGGCCCACATACTCACGGACACACAAACAAGACCATGAGTTGCTGGAGTACCCCAGAGCTTGGGCCCCCTCGGCCATGAGAGAACCACTAATACAAAAGATCACCAGAAATGAAGGACTCCATATATGGTTCCAAATCCATTGAAGGATAAGTCGCCTCGGTCTAGCCTCCTCAGCCCGGTCACCTTGGCCAGGACCTTCGACAAAAATCTTATGTTGTACATAATGAGAAACTTCATATAAACATCCTAGCTATAAATGGCCCGTAATTGTACCTGAGCCTCCCATACCCAAGACCTGGGAGCTCAACTCATATCTTCTCTATAAACACCTCCCTTGGGGGTACTTCTTAAGGGTTGGAAAACATTAATTGCAAAGATCTTTCTCACTCTAACTCTCACTTCTCTCTAAAGCTATACTCTATCATTTGGCGCTCTCATTGAGAGGCGGTAAGAGCACGTTGTCTGTCGCCTTTGACTCTTTCACCCTCCCATATGGACCGACATACATATGGGCCACGTGCAAATCACTCAACGTGTTTTGTGGCCGAATGATGAGGAGGTTCCAGCAATCCAAGCTTGACAAACCCGGTGCCATTCCCCGTCACCGGCGCGACCTATCCGCGGGTCTCATGTTCCCAGCAGTTTCGACCTCTCAAACGTTAGAAATCATATTCAAGCAAAGAATGTTGGCGGATGTAGAAGCCCCCCCCCCCACACCCGAGAACAAACTGTGGCCACCTCAGCGTCAGATCCCTCGAGTTCATCCTCGGTACGATATTCACTCATCTTTTCTGCTTCGACCTTAAAGTCCTCCACAAGCTTCAAAGGCACTTTCGGCTTCTCCTAAGCGTCCTCCTCCTCAAAGTTATAGAATTCCTCGTCCTCAGACTTCGACGCGATGACTCGAGATCGAGATATGTTTTCAGAATCAAAAGAATGCATCATAACACCACAGGGTTCGAGACTAAAGATCTAAATCAGTTTTCTCCTAAACACTAGATCTACTAATTTAAAAGCAATTCTAAAGCAAAATGTAAATAATAGACGAAGATCTGACCTTAAAGATTTTGAGGGGTGAAGAACACTTTATCTCTCTAAAAACCAGCAACAACAAATCAAAATCAGCACCAGGAATGTTGCCTCGGAGGAAAGACTTTAAGGTGACCCCCAACGGATACTGCACGTGTCATGTCCCCAATGGTTACACGAACGGTCGCCTAAATCTCATCCACTCAGTAAGCGCCACATGTCCAACCTCCACACCAAGGTACACAATAGCTTACAACCGACACCTTGGTCACCAAATGCAGGCTCACGCTGGCCAAAAGGAATTGTACACCATGACAAGTCCGCATTTCAATGCGTGTTGAGAATGGTTATTAGTCAGTTTTCCTAGCTTAAATGTGTCACCAGGCTCATAATTAGCTCAAGTCATGGTTGTAACACCATCCCCAAGTATATTTACTTTGTGTAAACCATGTATTGAACCTTATGAATTGGTTTGTGAATTTACGAGGTTGTAAATTTTGTTACTACTTTTTCATGAATAATGAATTGCACGTGGGATCCACATCAGGGCGAGGACCACCCGATATTTTCGAGATCTCCGTACGTACGGCCCTTGGGCCTTG